ATAGTTGCCACGTTTGTTGATGAAACAACTTTGCAGTGCCTCCTCACGGAATCACATGTGTTCAATGTTACTTAACTATTTACAAGGTGTTTATTACGTCAAATCCTTTTTCAAAAAGTGTTTCTTACTTCAGTTACTGTAGTAAACTGGTCTTAATAGCATATTTCCAGCTCTTGTTGTTAGCGCATGCACATTATATCTGTAGGTTGGTGAAGCCATGTTTTGAGTAAAATACAGTCTATCATTTGTTTCTACCTTACCACTGGCCACGACATATTTGGCAACGAGGATGAAACTATGTATTTGGAGAACCGGCACGACTGTTTTTGAAATTCTGCAAGTCGTAAAAAATTCGTCGACTGTTGGTGCTGTACGTCTATGTTGTACGTCCATGCAGCTTTTATTCTCATGTAATCTAATTTTATGAAAGTTGCCATGATCGATGAAACAACTTTATATGATAATTTCTGCTTATGACTGATTTTATCAGTCAGTCTAAGTGCTATACACGGGCTACAGTACTCATTTCGTGTTGTGCATATTCACATGTGCCAAATCCATAGAGTAGCCAAGGTGTTAAAAATGGATTAAATACTGGCAAATCAAATTCTGCTTAGGTATGTCGCATATAACATGTAAAAACACAAAAAATCCGAGATTTCACGTTTTCCTCGTAAAGGGGTATTAGCTGCTCTTTCTCAGGAGTCCCTACTCGCGTGTGTTACAAACTATTTCTATCATGCCCTCACATGTTTTAACCACTTTTGTTTTCCAAACAGTTGCCGTTTGTCTGTATCATTTGTCGAGCACGTCTACTGAGCATATGAGCATCACATCTGATGCGAGACTGCTGAGGTTTTGCAAGTTGATAAAAAATTTACCTTTAACTGTCACGTACATCCTTTTGTCTGTCATTTTTAGTTCATTCATGCCTGGACCATTTTTTGTTGGTGTTAGATCACAATTCGTGATACATGTGAATTTCGCTTTGTTTTAATTTTAACACAGATTTCCAGTTCATTTTATACCTTGGTGCTGTTATATTTATTTATTTTATCTCCAAAATATATAATAAATATATATTATATCTACTATTCGTCGTCAGAGCGAAGCAATAAAGTTTACCATGAGTATTATTAAACACAATTCGAAAGTGTTATATTCATTATCATAGTCAAATTTGTATAATTTTTAACCTTTTAACTAATCCACCGAACTGAAACAAACTTCCCATTTTACCATGTGACAAAACCACGGTAAATTGTGTACGTTCTATCTCGGCGTTCATTGGTCCCAATAGAGAATCTCTCACTGTAATCGAAACATCAGTTCTGTTTAAAAAGTGATTGGAAGTTTCATAGCGTTCATCATAACTCTTCCACAGTCCTTTGCACGTAACCCCGTAGCCAAATATTGGAAATATTGTAAGAAGAAATTTCATATGTTCATTATTACTTAATTATTTACAATGTTTTCATTAAAGTTAGATCCCTTTTCAACAAGTCTGTCTTACTTTAGTCACTTAGATGATTTATGAGGACTACAGTGACACATTTGACGCGATTTGACTAGCACAGGGGGTACGGAATGCATTTTAGAAAACTGGTAATGTGTCAAGATATTGACTTATTGGATTCTTATGATTTAACCTGGACTGATTCCAAGAATTAGAAGACTTTCAGAAAAACAGATAATATGGAATTTTTGGGTATTGGAAATCGGAAGTGTATCAGTATAAATAGTTGTTCTCGTAACTCTTCTGACCTAAATTCACTTTGTTTGTCACAATGTTTTACACCACCATTTAATATTTACACGCTTACACTGGCATTGTGATCTTCGTGAAATGAAAACCACAAATGTGCGTTTAACTTCAAACATATGTCACACAACGTCCCTATAGAATGCGCCCTCTAGCGAAGAATCTGAATTTGTGTAAGATCAGAGTGTCTAAACTGTTTTCATCATGGTTTATTTGGTATAATGTAACCATAAAACGACTACACAACCAAACATTATTGTATATTTAAACAACTTTACTAACACCCTCCTGCTTAACATAACATGATATGCAGCTTATAAGGCCGTATTTTTATTGACATAATCTACCATCTAAACAAGATAGTATGTACATGTATAAACCAACAACGACATAAATTGGTATTTCCATTTCTTGATTGACATAGTGTCATCCGCTTTCTCGACCTTGTATTTCTTTTATTCTTTCTTCCAAAACCTTTTTGTCTTTTTGGATTTTGTTTCTGAAAATGAAAGTATTAATGATTAGTGGCGGATTGTATTTATATTACTGTATGTACTATCAAATTCTACAACAAATCTCAGAATAAAATTATCTGTGCTATCTCAAAATTAAGCACACTAGGAATTGTTACGGAAGGTATGTTGCCTTATGTGAACATATTTTATAGACCTATATTGTTATATTCGTATAATTAATTTGACCAATTCGTGTTAACATAACACTTATATTCAATAAATTTACTAAATGACGTTATTTTGCCATACGATATTTAATTAATATATTGAACCACGATATCGATATTTTAGTGATTATTGTAGTTTAGATTTAATTGCCAAGCATTTCGGTATTTACTGCAATTTAACTATTCGCGTATCTGGGACACTATAATCTTTTTGTCATTCACTGTGCATATGCACTACAACATGGGATTTGTGTTATGAGTTGTGATCTTGCTCACAACGTTGAACAAACCTGGTCGTCTCGGCCAGTCATCACTCATTCCAGCCCACCCATTACTACATTCATATCATTTAGATAACAAATCCATTTATTGTAATATGTGGTTTTTAATTTGTACTACAATATCTTCTTTATAAATCCTTATTATATTTATAGAATGGGTAACACTGCATATGTGTGTCAAAATGGTTAGAGTATCAGCCCATTATTACGGACATTTGGGTAAGACTCATATGGTCGACTGCACACTCATCATTACGGAAAAAGAGTACATCCTGTACATTTGCCAGGCTCGCAGGATTCGTATTTTGGGGAATAGCGTTCTTTCAGACGGGACGTAAAGCTGTTGGTAAATTGTTCCTGGCCTCAGTGTATTAAAAGATGCTATTGTTATTGACGCGATGACAACTGACACATTAAAACTCCATTTGTTGTTAAAGTTTTTAGCCAGAAGCAAGCCGCCGACTTTGCTGAAAAAAGGCTCAAGTCAAACCCTTTTTGGTACCATGCTTTTTCTGAGTTGGTCTAAAACAATTACATGTACAGTCCCTTACTCAAAGCACTGCATTTGATTTACGTAAAATACGTAATATAGCTGATACTGATAAACGAACTTTTTGTAACAATTTTCCTGAAACACTGCTTCATTTGTTTTATAATTGTATTCATGTCTCCTCAGTGCATCGAGATATTGAATTGGCCCTTGACAATAATAGTTCAGTGAATTTTTCATCAAAAGGTGTCACCTTTGGATTAAAAGTACATGATTCTAATTTAAATTCAGACTGCATCCTTCGTTTAAATTACCTTTTACTGCTGATGAAAAAAATATATTTTCAATTGTAGATACAAGAATGTAAAGCCATCTTTTGTAAATTTATGTAATTATTTAGCATACCAAAGAGAAAATAGATATGTACAAAATAAGGATATACAATGTAAAATCAAAGTCTTTCAGATTATATTGGAGTTGATTAGATCAGCTGCTGTGAACATATTTTTTTTTTATGTTTTATTTTTAGTTTTCCGTGTTTTTCCATCATTTGTATGTGTCTCGTATTTTATCTTTTTGTGAAATAACAATAAATAAATTAAAAAAAAGAATTACACATGCCTTGTTCACATCAAGCATATCTTTATATGTAATTTATATACATATATGTATATGTAACTTTGAATTGGTGATATGATAAAAATGTTATACTTAAACAGACGTGTCAAAAAATCATTTTTGTGAAAAGAGCAATTTGTAGACCATGCCAAATACGTTTAGATTATGTTGGTGAGTTACTGAAGGAATAACAAGAATGGAATCCTACATCATAATCATTTTCAAATATTGAACAATTGTCTTATCATTGAAATATTTAACGTATAACAAACTGCTTTTCGAATAATATTACAGAAAAAGTTTTTAACTGTTTTTAGAAAAATAAAGTGAATGACATGGAAAATCACAGTTACTCACACGTGGTGTTTCACCATTCGTCGTCGTATATAACTACCACCATCAACGAATGAAGTCACAATAAGTAACATGATCAGAAGCAACACTAGTTTCTTCATATTATACAGACAATGGAACAGTATATAGATGTCAGCGTCAAGCGAATAGTGACTTTATGTCCCTGATTTCCTGTTTACAATGATACATATAGGGGAATGAAAACATAATTAACATGACATACATGTTGACCTTTTTGGTAGATGAAATGAACGAATATAGATAACTTTATGTTGGACTTTTGGATGAGTTGTAGAACTTAAATTTGCCTTTGTATCGTGTTAGGATTATTCGAGTATGGAGCGAGCAGTTTTTCATTTTCATTTCTTGAAAAGCATGAGTATTACTTTAAGAAATGTTTGAGCGAAAAAGTAAGCAATCTCTTATGATGATCATTAGGGAAATATGTATGTTTATCTATTAATTCTTCAACATATCTTATTCAATGATTGCACTGATTTTATTCTGAGGCCATGAACATTGTTTACTCTGGGATTTATGACTAGTTAACCTGGGAAACGAACACACAATATTCGGTCAACATTCGCGCCAAACAAATGTGCGGGTTCACTTTTTTCACTTATTCTACCACTGCAAAGTGCACTTGGTTGGCGCATGGATGTACTGTATATACACGCAACACATGTAATGCACATTGGAGAAATGGAAACACAACTAATGCATTAACCCAGATATAACAAGAATTGGCAGAGCCATCTCGATGCTGGGAAAATATGTGTTTTGAAGCAATGGATTGGCGAACAGGCAGAAAAGAAAGCTGAGGAAGTATCAGATGACAATCAACCAATTCGAGAAAAACAGTCGGCAATGACTAAATGCATGGCCACAGCCAAATCGCTGTTTAATTGAAATAAAAAAATCAAAGAAAACAGAGAACTCTGAGACAGGAAGAGAAACGCGAGCGAAGTAGTCGAACAACAGGCATTACGGCAGCCATTTTGTTTCACCTCGATCAATACAGTATTACCCACGATGCAATATTCCAATGAGCGTGGGTATGTGGAAGTTCATAGCCAAGCGTACTGCGTTCAAGAACAAGGTATGAAATTACATGACGAGACCAACCCGATTTGCCGTTTATTTCCGGGTTCGGGTGCGTTTCATATAATATATATATATACTATATATATATATATATATACAAAAGATCGATACGCACTATACCGTCGAGTGTAGTATTTATACTACCGATGGCAATAAGAAGTACGAAGGAAGCTAATACAGTTGATTTATAACACTTTTCAGTCCTCATTGAGGCACACAAGTATTTAAATGAGTTGCTAATGAGTACAAACACCACGGCCAATCACACAAAATCCATCCAACAGTACTATGATTTCACAACTTTCGAAAAACATTCGTTTTTATCGATAAATTATAGACGTTCAAAGCATGAACAAATTCACACCAAACAAGGAACTTTCACAAACTTTGTTAACAACCATCAACAACCGAATGTAGATCAATGGTCCCCCAAAAGGCCAACGACATTGCCTCCTGTTAAATATGTCGACTTACCAATATTCTTCCCAGGTAAGAACAACAAACACGACGAAGAAAAACAGCGCGACCTTGATTTCAGCAGTTGCAACTGAAAACAGCTCCCCCCGCAAAATTAACAAAAATTGCTTGCGAACGGGAAGACATTTACTGGTGTACAGTGGACATGGACACTTGAAAGAACAGCCCACTGAACACAAAGCCTACACTATCAGAAATTCGTAACACGTAATTCGAGTGATGGTATAACAAAATAACTCATCATTTGTAAATTCAATCCTTCGAAAACGTATAAAAAAACATTGTCATTAACAATTTTCATTATATAAATACACTTTGAAAAGGAACATGATTCATAAACATAAATCTATTTGAATACATTCTCACTACAAATTACACAATACTTATTTTTTCGGTGACACATTTTATAGCTACGCCCAAAATAGCCATTATTTATTTGCAACTGTGACCAAACGACATCATTCTGTTAACATCCAGACATTTTCATAAAATCTCCCTGCACTTTTTGACCATTTATAAGTAAAATATACTACAATTTACTCCAGAAAAACAATTTTCTTGGTACATTCCTACATTTTTGCATATTGAATGAGGGGTTCAGACGCATTCCAAGCGGAACACTTTTCTTGGACTAATAACAAAGCTGGTCAATCTCTTCCCAGCAATAACCATAATCAGAATTTTTTGATAATATTAAATTATTTTTTTCCAGGGAAAAGCACATATAGTTGTGATTTGATTTTGTTATTAAGGTATAGGCCAATAGAAATGCTACAAGATATAAACCTGTCACTAGCACTACGATCCCGGGGCCGGCCCAGGATCTTTAATATTAATGCGACTGTGTTGAAGCCAAAGAGGTAAAAAATACATTTTAGTGCAAATGCCTACAAATACTATTTCTTAGTAACACAGTATGGTTTATTATTAAAAATGTATTCACCCTACATACAGCATCACCAGTTGATAAAAAGTTGTCAATCAATATCGAATAGTATAAAATACTGTATAATATTTAACTTTCATTGGTAGAAATGTTGAGAGTTTGATGGCACCTGTTATGACATGCCGTAGGACCCAAGACAGTTTGTCACTGCTACAAAATTTCGAAATTTTCAGAATCGTGTAATTCCCGGAAATTTGCCTCTTGCTAAATTGAAGAAGATTTACAACATTGCTGCTGTCCGTAAAAAAAGTTAAAAATAAGAATAATCAAAGATTGTTTTAAACACATTTGGGTACATAAGGCATGTCATGGAAACAATTTGAAATTAATTAAAGTACTGAAATACAATACAAGGAATAAATTGTGTACAAATGAAAGACCAACAATTTCACATTAGTATTAGTAGTATTGAAATTAGGCAATTATTCAGCTTCCGAATCGCACAGTTTCGCTAAAGCCGGTCATTCATAACCGGCCCACGAACCTGTTCGTGATCGTGTTAGGAAAAGCTGTATTTTAGTGCAGTTAAATTGAGTCATTTGATTGGGTACGCCAAGGAACTGAAGCCACCAATCAGCGTTGCTGTAATATAAATGTGGACGTCTGGAGTCATCACAGATATAAACAATGGCGGCGTGTAGGCCTCTTGCGCCCACAGTCACTTGGGGGCTGAAAATCAATAAATACTAATTTTCAAAAAAAAAATCATCCGCTATACGTATATAAATAAACAAGTTGTGAAACACGGCACCTAGTAAATCGACACCCTGTCGGTTTCAAATGTTGATTTCTTACCTTAAAATGCGAAAGTTCTGGGTTCTGCATTGTTATATACTTTTACATAGAATAAAGTCATTAGTTGTTGTATAGTTGACTTGAACTGTTATGAACCCCCCAAGAATCAGAAATATCACAGGTTTTTCGATCGACTACGTTAACATGAACGACGCCATTTTGACAAGATTTTTTTAGCGATGTCAGCATGTTGGCACGCGAAGTTTTTTTCCCTATTAAAACGAGAACATTAACATAATTCCCGATATTAATCTTTGAATTGCAGGAACTGGATGTTTATGAGTTGGTAGGCTGGTGGTGATGCGTATCAGGGTTCAAAAAACCCAAATTTCATAGTGATAATTTTGTTTACATGTTTGTTTACGTTGTGGTTGCCCGAATTTGAAGTCAAAGTGAAGTCATACAATGAGGTATCGCTTTGCATGACGGTAACTTTTGAAGGTATTGTAATCTGTCTGACGTCTTGACTCCCTCGGCCCGCGTGTGAACGGTTTGTTTACCCGCACTGCGGTTCGAGACAAAAGAACGCTAGTCGTTTCCAGACCGGGGATAGAGGGAATGTGTCGCGTGGGACTCAATTCCCACGTGTGCGCAAGTGACGACACTCCCGCTATAAATAGCGACTGGTCTGTAGTATATACTTCAATCTAAAGACAGTGAATTTTCGGATTAACACCTATGTTTCCCCCACGCTAACCAAAGACACTAGTGTCTTTGCGTTATAAACCAACTTTCCCCCACACTAACGAACAAATATTGTGTTCTACTGACTTCCTGTTCCGGTCCGTTTGTGCTTCGGCCGGCCCTGGCCCTGATGCAAAGAGTTTATCTCGAAGCAATTTCACAAGATCAAAGAAATGAATATAATTGTAGGCAACATGTTATTTTTTTATAGTGAACAAATGTAATCGACGCATGAATATCCTTTTTCTGGAGTCGTAGGTATTTCGGAAACCATGAAATCGTGAACAGATATGACAGACCGGAAGGCGATTTACAGCGATGCAATGCGATGTGGAAGAAAATTGTGAATGTGAGTTATAATCGTGTGCACTAATTCAATAACATGCGAGGATCTTTACAAACTAGATTTGTAAATTGACAAGCATTTATATTTTAATATTCTGGTTATTCACACGAATAGAAAGATGTCGATCAACATTACAATTCACATCGCTATGCATATCAGGTGATGTGCATCCCATACAATTCAATTTATGAAAATGAAGAACCTACCGTTTGAAGGCACTTACGACCCCTTTTTGAAGTTCCTGCAATCCAACCACTGAACGTTGAACAAAAATAAACCTTGCAGATACAATGAAACCGTGTGCTGAGACGGAACAGAGATTACATATGGTGTGGTAATATAGCGTTACTAACAGATTGGTACTTACCTTGAATTCAAGACTTTTCACGCGACATTTGAAAACGAAGCTCAATTCACACAGGACGTTATTACCATGATTTGACTCCGGAACTCGTAAACTACATTTATTTATGTTAAATGCACAATTCATTTATTTATTTATTATTGTAAAATACAAAAATCATAATTATGACAACTAACTTGTTAATATCCTGTGCAGTGAAAAATACTAAAATTGACAATTTATTGTTTTTGTTTTTTTATTAACAACATTGTTTCATACAATAATACAAACATTTTTCTGACAATATTTTGTTGGTAGTAGATCCAAAAGCTCGTCTTTAATATATTAGTACTCTGTGGGCACTTCTGTGTTTTATTTATAATTCAAACATTTTTTTTGTTAGAAGATGTTCAGCAAATCCATGATTTCTTTAATTAAAAACTGAATACATAGAGGAGATACAGAATAGTCGTGTTTTTTTTCAAAATAAAACAAATAGTTACTTCAAACAGTATATGGCATGTAATATAAAGGTGTGACACATAATAATAATTTTCTGACACATTTTTGGTGATAACAAAATTATAAAGCATGTATATTCATATTATTTGTTGAGCATTTATGTAAATTGTTTGTTCCAGTTGCCCTAAATTTCTTTGTTTTTTTAATGGCAGGTCTGTATTTTCTATGTATAGTTTCTGTTATCGATTTATTTAGAATCGAATACACAATAGATAAAACTTGTGAATAAAAAAATCAATAAATACATAAATCTGAATCTAACTCATTTTTTCTGAGCATGTACGATTGTTCTTTCATTGTTGTTTGGAGGGGTAAAATTAAAATCATGAAAACGACCGACTTAGGATTCTCAGATTTGGAAAAAAAAATCAGAGTCTATCCAACAGATTATTGTTCCTCAGCCTGTCAAGTTTCATTGATATCTGCTGAAGAATTTGTGAGACGATGTTGGAGACGCAATCCGGGAAACGGAGGTCATATTAGTAGTTCCCTTTTCAAGCTGTGTCTGAACGGGAACTAAACATTGGTTTGACCAAAAGTCAATCAGAAATCTTAAAGTGCCTGTGCAATGCCCATCCACACGCTTCCCATTTTAGATCCGTGTCCCACTAAAATGGGCAGTTATTGATTTTTTGGCTGAAAATGGTTACTCGTATCCAAGTAAATTTGAGATATTTCTCGTGCTGTAGCCACGCCCACCTATCCTGAAACGGTCGACTGTTTCCGGATTTCCGACTCTCACCGAAAGTGCGCCACCAAATGCCACAATATGAGAGGAAGTCATACCCCTGAGCCGTCAAAACACTGGTCATTCAATATACTTTTAAACAATATACATTTTCGGTCGACGTTTCTTATTTTTTGTCCATGAGTAAAACTTTATATTCACATATTAATAATAGACTAACCAAATACATAGAAGAAAATAAAATTTAAAAAAAATAATCAATTTGGTTTGCGTAAAAATCGAAAAATAACAGATCATTTTTTTTCTTTGAAACAGTTAACAGCTAGCGGTGAAGCCTGGGTAAATTGCGGTCATTGAACTTTGTTTTAATCTCCCAGAGTTCCTTGCGTGTGCCACGTAAGTTTTGGACGCCATTTTGTTGACAAACAGCTGGATTTCACTCGTGCAAAGTGAGGCGTACAAAGAACGCTCAAAATCTCACGATATTAGCGGGACCATGGGAGGTTCTGCTAGCACACCGGTGCCTGGAGGAGGAACGGAAGGTTACCACGTGCTAAGAGTAAGTATACGATGTTCGTCAACAACTGTAAGATCAATAGCTGATACGATAGGTCAGCCAGACTGCCCAGTCACCTAATACGAGCGATGCGAGGAAATGGAGCATGTGGCTTCCTGACATGAGATCGCCGTCACATTGTGATCGTGGATTTTTTTTATGACAAAATGTAGATGCATGATGATTACTTGGCGTATGTTTTGTGCATGGTCTTTTCAGCTGACTGTGGACTATAGTGGCTCGCTGTGTCCACGTATGCAAATCATGGGGTAAATAAATTAGCTTTTCATTTAAGATAATTACGTGTAATAATAAGTTAAATTGTCATAATAGGCATTGTGTAAAACCGTAGCAGTGATAAAGCAGAGACACAAGAAAATGTATTTTCATCAGCAAGCTAATGAGTATAAATTTTTTGAAGTTCGTATTTTGTAATCGTGTCAGTCTTGCATTCGTGCTCACTGCTGTTATGTGGGCCACGGTTTTTAGTAATCGTGTATGGGCATACATGTAGGATGCAGATTTACATCCTAACCATCTGCCATCCTAATAGTACAGAACACTGACTGTAAGACTGTAGTTGTGCATGTCTAATAAATTTTCGCGGGATTCCGCAAAGAGTAATATAGTTATAGTCACGGTGTAGTGGCTATTACTACATTATATTTTTTAACAAAAAGGCAAATTGTAAAATAGTGTTGCGGTCAACCAATCTGTTTTTTTGTAAAGAATTATGAGTTTTTTGAAGGCAAAGCTGTACAAATTATAACAAAAACGTTTGTTTTTGCTCTGATAAAAACTCACAATTGTTTTTGTTAGAACAGTGTAGCTGATCACTACACTATCCTTAAAATTACATACCACCAACAAGATACACAGCATGATATAAGCAAATGAGATTTCATTGACATTTGCAATATGGTTAATTGGTTTTAATTATACAGCTGTTCACAGGAGCAAGATCAAAATAGATGGTCTAATAACTAGTTTTTTGGTCATTTACTATTGTTTTCTGTTATGAAATATGATGAATACTGTTTATCTTTTTAGCTCTGCTGTCTACTTTGTCGAGCAGAGCTAATTATATGAGTGATGGTTCTGTGTCGATTGGGATGCGCATCAACTTTTTAGTTTTTCGACTTCTTCTTGAAAACCACAAGTCTGATTGCTTTGATACTTAGTGTATATGTACCTTGTGTAGACCTCTCTTAGATTTATTTCATGATGGTATCTTTAATTCTCTAATTTTGATGAATATTTTTGTCATTTTTGGTAAAAAGTGATATTTAAGCCTTTTTGTTGAAAAGTCTGATTGCTTTGATATCATATATATATATAGGTACTACAGGTGGAATTCTTTCAGATTTTTTCCTTTCATGATGATATCTTCAATTCTCTTTTGATAAATATGTTTGTCATTTTTGATGCAAAGGGATTAATTTTCTAATGGTATCTTTAATTTAAATGTGCATTGCTAACAGCGGAGCTATCTTGGCAGAGAGGCTGCTTGTTTAAATGATGCTTAAGCATGGATTTCAGAGAGTTTTTTCTTCAATAAAAAAATAAAATATGAAAAATTAATGATATATGTAGTAATTGATGATTCTGTCAAGCTTTTAAAACTAAAAATTGTAATCAATTGTTAGCCCATATTTAATTTACTAAGTTAAATGAAGATTTCTGTCAAAATGTAACCATTTTGAAGTCTATGAGAGTTGAATTCTTTATTTTAGGTTCAAGAGAATTCACCAGGACATAAAGCTGGACTTGAAGCCTTCTTTGATTTCATTGTAGCAGTGGGTAATACAAGGCTGGTAAGTTAGTCGCATATTATCATACATGAAATGAGAAATAGTAGATTCTAATCAATAAAACTGAGAACCAACTTAAGTAGTGTTTCCTTCAAGCAAAATTTACTTTATGCAGGAATTTCATTAAGAGCTAGCAATATGGCCTGCTACAAGCCTAAATTGGCCATCTACTTTCTGACCCCTGACCACCAATGCTGGCCTCGCTGCAGCGCTTCGCACTGTCAAGAGTCTTTTTATTTTATTTTTTGGCCCGTTGTTACAGAATGATGGCCTGCTATCAAATGCATTTGTAAAATCCCTGATTATGAAATGTTGTGATTTCCTCTCAAAGACCTCTTAGAATAAGGTGCATTTCAATACATAATACTGTAGAATACTTTATTTTTGCTTGGAATTGATTTTCGCTTTTTTTTTCCCTATATTTTACATTCAACTCGTCAAAAATCAGTGAAAATAAATTCCATACCTAACGCCCCAAAAGTCTATTCAGTGAAAATTAATTCTAGCTAAATTAAAAGTATTTTACAGTACAAGATATTAAATGAATGTTTAGAGTGCACTTTCAGAGAGAGACCCAGGCACTAAAAAGATTTAGCGAAAATAAGACTGAGAAGCCCGGCACAGGAATACTGAACCAAAGACATTAGACATCCAATGTCTTTGACTGAACTTTTTTAAAAAAAAGCATTTTTTAGTAGCCTCCTGGTTGGTTTTTGTTTCTAACGAAATAATGCACTATATTATAGTGTTTGAGTAGTTGACTTGTGAAAAACGATCTCTAAATCAAAACGGGATTGTACAAATGTATGTACATTATACCTTGGTTCCTAGTAAAAGTTATGCACCAGACATGCTACAACAGGTTACTGTTAAAAATCATTCACTCAAATCTGTTGTATAAATATTGTTATTAAAAAATACAGATTCAATATGGTTGAAAAAAATATATTCTATACATGCATTTGATTATGATTTATCAAAAAACTATAAATATCACTTTTGCAAAATACACAAAAGTACATATATTTGTATGATCAAAAATACTAACATACTTTCACAGTAAAACAATGTATGTACACATACATTTACTTAAATAGGAATATTATACCATTTTATTCATACAAACTACTGTAAAGGGGTTAATTATTCACTGGGTTTAAATTTTGCTTATTTGGCTGCCTGGAAATTGCGCTAAATTAAAACCCAGTGAATATATAAGATTTAGCATAGAACACAATATCTCAATGATGAAACCGTGAATTTAAAACCCACTGAATATTCCTGATTATGCTAAATCAGCGAAATTTAAACCCAGTGAAAATTAGTCATTTTACAGTAACTCGTTTTTGTGATGCAAAAACAATGAATCATTATCAAATACATTTATTAAAATGAAGTGTCAAACAACAGTATTGAATGTTTCAAATAAAAGTGAAAGTAATTTTAAATTACTACATTTTAGATTAAGGTAGAGATGCAGTTTATTTGTGAATTTCAATCCAAAATATTTTTTTTCGTTTTTTATATAGATTTCTATCTAAAGAACATTCTGTGAAAATTTGACCAATGAATTCTTATTGGAACATCGTTAAAATTGCTGTTTATTTTCTGGTTAAAAATAAAAAACACTCACACGTGGCAATGTTTATGTCCAATTGCCTAATTTGC